AAGCTTTAAAGCAGAGATTGTTCTAGCATGATTTTGTCGAAGCCTGGTGGTGGTTCGTAGTGAAATTTATCCAAAATAATGTCTAAAATCGCTCCATTTCCGACTATAAATTTATAAAAAGTGTATTGTATTTACATGTAACATATCAAATAAAATTACATATATAGCTTACCGAATATAACGGGGTAGACAGTCCCCTTTACATTACGAAACGGCACTTCCAGGCTTTTACCATTAAAGTAGAAATTTAATTCTATATGATCGAATGCTATACCCACAATGTCTCCTTCTTCTGGAAAACTGTGTTGTGGCTGCATTATCAAGTTGTCTCCAATTTCGCTATTAACGTTTACATTATTGCTAAGTAGGTTATCTTCAGGTACATCCTCGATGCCAATCAGACCTGCAGCTGCGGCAGTGCCATTAATAAGTGGTTTGCTAGCACTAGTTGGTTCTTGGGTGGTTATCACTACCGGACGGAAAACTTCATCGTTATGTCGCGTTGAATTATCTGAACACAGACACCAAGATTCCTTGTCACAGCCGCCAAACTTTTTCGTTAAATCTGCCTGTCGCGTTGCTAGGCCGACTGACCAGCTGCCGCTTTGTTGGATCTTTATTTCAAAGTAGGACTTCGACTGTACAAGTGGTGCAGTAGCCAAAGCACCGCCAGAGCCGGTGATGCGCAGCTGTTTTGAGAGTAGTATGGCATCTGGTCCTATCAAATTAGAAGCAAATAAATGGAATTTCTTTACTATTTTCATCTACATACATACATATGTATGTACACATACACGCATTTATTGCAAATACAATTTTTGGATTACATACATACAGAGGTTTGTCGCTCTAAGGACGCTTACCTGCAAACGAGGAATCCAGGTATATTTCTGGCTCACGTTGGCGATTTGCTGATGAGGTGGTTTTCCTAATACTACCATTGAGGCAAGTACGCAAACAACAAAACATTTTAGTTTTTTGATTATCTTCTTAAAACAAAATTATAAAACAAAGTTTTCCTTTAAATGATGGGAAATGCACAAAGATTGAAAACGTCAAAATCAGCTGTTCCAAAATACACAAATTGTGGATTGCATTGTTATGTATTTGATGGACGCTAACAAATTTCGGAAAGGTGTGAAACAAGGCTACGATAAATAACAGGGTGTTGCTTTGTTCGAACCAGAGAACTTAGATATCTAAGTTCTCTGAAGGGTGGTGCAAAAGTACCGACAAATGTTTGTTGATATATTCGAATGTAAATTTAAACAGACAAATTCATAAAAAACATAATAATAAAACAAAATTATTGTTAATTACTACATGGGAGGTGGGCGTAGTTATTGACAGATTTCGCCAAAATTTAATACTAACCTAAATTATACCAAAGGCAACTTCGGCACCGACTTTCGTTAAAATATCTCAATTTTGTTCGAGTTAGCGTATTTACAAACAGACACGGCTGAACCAATTCTTCTCGTTATCGATGATCGATGTGACCATTTTCCAAAGTCAGCCCTTATTCATTCAATTATTCACTCAAAGTTGTGTCCGGAACGCGGTATGACTTATGTAGGAACTACATTCGGTCACAATCGCTAACGCTTCACTCCTGATTTTCTTGGAATTTTATTTTTCCCGTTATTTTATTTTATGTGACTTTAAAATATATTTCACTATAAGAAAATATTAAATTTGATTTCATTTGGGTTAACGAAAACGACAACCGTAAAAAACCCAACAAGCAAAATAAACTTAAAGAAAGTCTTTTTTAAGTTTTCAATTATAAACATAGAGCTTAAAAACGTTGATTTTTTGTTTATAAAACGCTTGAAAGTAAGCGTAATATAATCGAAAAGGAACATTGGTTATAAGCGTAGAAATATTAATTTGTAATAAATGTTCAAAAGAAAGCTTTTATAAGCGTAAAAGTGTAAACTTATAATAAAGGTTTCAAAAGAAAGCTTTTTATGAACATTTTTATAACCCTTTACTTAAAGATATTTCATTAAAAACTCATACCTAGATTGCTTAGTATCTAGAAACTAAAAGAAATGCGAATTTTCGGCGGACTCATCTACAGTCGCGAAAATATAAATAGGGAATAGATATTTTAGCATACAAATTCATGATAACACACAAAAATTAAGCATAAAAAAGATAATTATTACATGTTGTTGTTGTAGCAGCATACAAATTCCCCAAAGACTTTTTGGGGAGTGTTGCTGGAGTGACAGTCCTTCGCCAGATATAAATCTGGGTCGTTCCGGTTACGTAGACCCGACTGTCGTGGGAACGACATCTTCTTGCGTGCTTTCAATTACATGCGGTTATTGGCAAATTGGAAAAACGACATCGATGCAGCTACATATATATTCAGCTTCATCGCCGCCATTCTCATTGATGAATTTTTCTGAAAAAAATTTAATACGTTTTTAATTGAATGTTAAACTAAGAAAGGATAAGGAGAACTCATCATTCGAAGACTCGAATGCTCCACCGATTAGCGCAGTGGGTCCTGGATTGGATTTTTTTTACCGCATCGGTTTTGTTAAATTTTTTCTTTTAATAATATATTTTAAAAAACGTAAACACGTCACTTACGATTGAAAAAATATTATATTTACTACTTCATGTCGTTGGCATTTGCATTTCATTTATAAGTTTAAGTTATTTATAAACATTCGCTCTCAAAATTTATTAAAGGTTTATTTGAAAAAACCTTTAATAAGCTTAATATTAAAAATGCTTATTTAACGCTTATTATAGCAAACTTTCTTTAAGTTATTTTTAAAAACATTTACTGAAATGCTTGTTGGAGTACGATTGAAAAAATATTATATTTACTACTTCATGTCGTTGGCATTTGCATTTCATTTATAAGTTTAAGTTATTTATAAACATTCGCTCTCAAAATTTATTAAAGGTTTATTTGAAAAAACCTTTAATAAGCTTAATATTAAAAATGCTTATTTAACGCTTATTATAGCAAACTTACTTTAAGTTATTTTTAAAAACATTTACTGAAATGCTTGTTGGGATGCATATAAATATATACATGTAAAAATTATCCATTAACTTGCCAGCAACTCTCCAGCAATTTAATTTCTGAGAACTCGCTCTCTTACAAAAAATATCCCAAAAAGTGAGCGCAACCCAATTATGATTTGTAAGTTTCGAGAACAGCTAATAAATTGGTTGTTTTTTGCAGCAACTTCCTAATAAAGAAAATATTTTATTTTTAAATAGGATTATTTTGTCAATTTCAACTATAAAAACACCATAAACAGTTTCCTTATTAGTTTCAATAGGTTTGTTACACACGAGCCTGCGGGATCCCGTGGGTGCCCAACAGTGCTGCCGAAAGTACTAATGAAGCAACCCTCGAAGCTTCCCAGTCATTACTGAGTGCAACAACTGATTCTGGGCCAAGAAATACGTGACCTGACAGGCTAACCTAATATTCACGCACGCCGCCAATTTATTGTCAAAAATTTCTCATGCACATGCAACCTGTATGGGACCAGCCGAAATTGAACGGCGTACGTATGAAGCTAACTCCATTTCCAATTTTTGTTGTGCGTGACATTTTGATTTGACGTTTCGCTCAATGAAATCAAATGCAATCGCACTCAAACCAATTGCGGGTGACGCAAAAAAACAAATTCGACGGCGTGTACACCAAAACGGAAGCCGCGAATATTAGGTTAGCCTGTGAGTCCTTTGTATACAAATCGGCCGGTATTCCCGTGTGATCTATCACTTACGAGTATATAAAGTAAAACCAGTTTGTTGCATATATTTGCCAAAATAATTTAGCTGACTGGCATTGCCTAGTTTAGAAGAACTTAGTTTGAAGGCTGTAAAATGACTTGCGCGCATTTGGTCCTTGATGACTGCAAATAATATAGCTTGGAATACCGAAGGCTGCGTAATATCCTTTGACAATGAGAACGACGTCTAGATCTCTGCCCCAATAGTTTCCACCTCACTCTACACGACACTTATTTTTTTAATCCTCTAAATGGCCGTAAGTTCAGTTTAAAAGAGTATTGACAATTCCAGCTACATCTCAAAAAAATACTCCATAAAAATTACGTTTTTATTAAAATTGAAAACGGCAGAAATGGTGCCCCAAATGGCCCAGGGGGGAGATTCTGTAACCAGTTAGCGACAATTTTCGAATAGCTATCGCACTTCATATCATGCGTCAAAAACTGCGATAGCGATCCGAAAATTGTCGGTAACTGGTTACAGAATCTCCCCCCAGAAAGCGACAATAACGCAAGAAAAATGGGTAAAGGCTCTGTTATGCATACTTGGCATTGCTTGAGAGTTGTCACATAAGGAATCCGTTAAATGAGCTTCGCGTGTAAGCGGTTACCCAACGCACAGCATTACATACGTAAAAGTCTGTTGGTTTTTGATTTCTACGTAAAAATGGTATAGCAGTGCATGCAATGCCAAGTATGCATAACAGAGCCTTAATAAGGCTAAAGGCATAGTGGAGCGGCGAGCAAAGCGAAGAACTAACATCGAGAAAAGCTGTTGTTTGTTTACATCCGAAAGCAAATTTTAATTTCGTTCCTCAACTTTTCTGGATAAAACATGTAAAACTGTCAAAAGCAAAATTGCTCTCAGAGAAAGAGAGAAAAACCAAAAAGTACCGGAACGCTTTTCGGGTAAAAACTGGTAAAACTGTCAAATACCCATAGACGCCTTTTTTATTACCTTCCTTTTATTAGCTCGGGATGTAACTATGTAATATTGATGCGCCTAAAAGATGCAGCGATTTCTATTCTCAAGTTACATACCTGATGACAGTACGAATGGCAATTATAATAGGTAGGTTTTAGTTTTTTAAACTATAATTTTATTTTATTTGCATAGCAGTTCTTTTATCTTTTGGCGATTTGCTAAATTATACGCAAATACACAAGCAAATTAACAAAAATACTCACAAAACTTGATATTTCTTCGCTTTGATATCTATACTAATGCTGAATTCCCACTAGGCGCACAATTGGAAAACTTCTGACTGCCATTCACCTGGGAGTGGCCAGAAGCGATTCTTGTGCGTACGGTTCAAATCGCAGCTCACAACGTCCGGATATTTATATCCACGTATCCTATGGGTAGCAACCAAACACCCATTTGGGAGCGAGCTAAATTGAGTAGGCGTTAAACTTCGCGTGCGCTGGGTTTGGGTCCCGCCACGTTAAAATCCCGCCCAATGAAAAAATCTAAAACGCCTCGGATGAGACCCCCTTTTTCTGATGACGACCACGGCAAACGTATAAAGGACTATGATTGCACCTGGAATATCCGGACCCTTAATGGGGAAGGTGCCTCTGCCCGGGAAGACAAAGGCTGACATCACCACCATCGAAGAAATGCGATGGACTGGGCAAGGAAAAATAAGCGTGAAGCCTTGCGACGTCTACTACAGTTGCCACGTAAAGGAGCGCAAATTCGGTGTTGGATTCGTGGTAGGAGAGAGACTTCGTCGCCGAGTACTGGCGTTCACCCCGGTGGACGAACGTCTAGCCACAATCCGCATCAAAGCTAGATTCTTCAACATCTCGCTCATCTGCGCCCATGCCCCGACGGAAGAGAAAAATGAGGCGTCCAAGGATCTCTTCTATGAGCGCTTGGAACGTACATATGAGCGCTGTCCCCGACACGATGTCAAAATCGTGCTTGGCGATTTTAATGCCAAGGTGGGCAAGGAAGGGATCTTTGGCGCCACTGTCGGAAAATTCAGCCTCCAGGACGAAACGTCCGATAACGGACTGAGGCTAGGTTCCAGCATAAGAACATCCACCAAGCTACATGGCTGTCTCCAGATCGAAAAACGAGAAACCAAATCGATCATGTTGTGATAGACGGAAGGCATGCTTCAAGCGTTTTAGACGTACGTACACTACGAGGGCCAAACATCGACTCGGACCACTATCTTGTTGTAGCCAAGATACGCACCCGCCTCTGAGCAGCAAAAGATGTGCGCCCAACAATGCAAGGAAAGCTTAACGTCGATAAGTTCACAACAGACGGCCACTTTATTCGCCAC